TATCATGTGTTGGACATGGACTTACACTCATTAACAAATCGAAATCACTGAGGAATTTAATTAACAGTTTGTCAGCATAACTCCTGCACTGAATTTCCTGAAACTTTGTAGGTATTTCAGACATAATGTATGGATTTGTATATTACTAAGAAATTTTGATTCCATTATTTATCTAGAAACTTCAGCCCAGTTAAATTTGTTACATACAAAGATTTGAATTTCCTTATACATGTATTTAAGAAGTTTTGATGTGATGATTTTTTGCAAGTAATGCCCCTTTTTGAATTATTATACTGTGTATTTAAAACATGTTCCATTGTTGAGTTTTGGGGGAGCGTGGGGTATGTGAGCTTGCTCACTTTTTCTTTCATTCTTGAATAATATTGCTTAAAATGGTTCAGTTAATAAAGTCTATAAATGACGATGTTTGAAGAAGTATTTTAGTGATTTATTATATTCTCTTTATGACCAGTACCCCTAAAAATGGCTGAAAATATGTAGTTGCTATGTAAAATTATCCTTCCAAGTTGCACGGACTGCACTACATTTAATAACGAAGAAACACCATATATTTTTAACTGATTGATAAGCGAGAGCTAATTTATCATTTTGAAAAGTTTGAAAATCTTGTGACAAAGACTTTTCCGACATAGGTTCTACCTTAAAGTTTTACAATGTATTCGAAAACAATGTACTGGTATTTAGAGGTCTTGAGCAAAATAAATCTGTAGTAGTCAATTGTCTATCAGGTCAACTATTTTGGCCTTGGTAACTGTTATTGATATTGAGTTAAAGAATGTCTATAAAAATCTTGCTCCGATTTCAGGACTCCGAAGTGAATATCAATCTCTCCAAAGATTACGACGAGAACTACCCTGCCATATTTAACATTATTCTGTGGATGATGATCGCCATGTTTGTCGTCATCTTCGCAGTATCTTACGGAATGTGGAACATTGACCCTGGCCGCGATAGTATTATCTACAGAATGACCACAACCCGCCTAAAGAAGGACTAGTCACTTCCTGTCTCTAGCTATTTCCTGTGATTTACTATCGAATGTTTCTTTCAATATACTGTTCTAATAACAGGGAAATTATGAAAGTTAAAATTAAAATATTTATAAGGTGAATCAATGTACTGAGCCTACATCCCTTCTCTATTGCAACAGTGGAGAGGATATCTGTCATTTTTAATATTTAATTTACGGGGTACAGCAGTGAAATTTTAGATGGAAAAAATACATTTTAAAGATAAGGCTATAAAGTACTCCTGTGTATTGAAGTCCAGTGTGTAAATGCTATGAACAAATCTAAACTTGTTTTTATTCAGGGAGGGTGCTCAAGAATGGGGCCATTTTCTCTAGGTCCCTTTATACGATATTGAACCAACAATTCCAGCATGTTAGTATGTTACGAAATTTACAATATTGTTTGTAGAATGTGTGTGTATAAACACTTTTTGCAAAGTTCTAGTCTAGTTACTAGTGAGGGTATTACATGTTCTGTATGTTCTTGTAGTTAGTCAATGTGGATTCTTTTATAAAAAAGGATTGATTACAAAAAAAATTGTACTTTCTCTGTATCAAATATAACAGCACAATATTTACATGTATTATTATGGGTTGGAATTGAAGATTGTGATAAATCACTGAGGATTGTATTGTAGGTATCTTACATGGTATACAGGGACATTTTTTTTTCAAATTTTGTCTTATATTTTGATTCAAACACTGGAAAAAAATGATATAAAGTTTTATCTTCAGTATAACATATCCAAAGCTTTTATGCTACTTGTAAAATACTAGAAACAGATTAGTAGAAATGAAACTTGAGCTAAACATTTAATTCGTAGGATTCAGTAACAGAGGATTCCAATGTGACCTTGTTCCTTATACATGTATGTTAAATTGAGAATGTATATGGCATCTCATGACACTGTCTAATTATGTATTGACTGCTGTGATGTGTACATTAGAAAGGGGAATTTATGGAAATGTTAATTCAGCATGATCATGAATAACATGTACTGTCCCCCCCCAAAATGCTAACTTTTGCAGTTGGAAATCAGTTTTGTGTGAGTACGAGTGTGATTTTTGCTAGAGAATATTTGTGTTTATTAGGTTTGTAAGTGTAACATGTGTGGGTGTTTGACTGTTGTGGTAATTTAATTATCTGTTGATGTAGATATCTCCTAAATATGTAGTAAACAAGAGTATAAACAGATTGAATAAATATCTATGTAAACTTAAGCTTGGGTTATAATTATTTATCTTTTAGGCCAACTTTAAAATAATGTTTGTTTGCTCTCCCCCAACTCAAGTTGAAAAAAATTGGGTCGGCAGGTAGGTGGGAATTTTTTTCCTGGAAAATTTCAACATCAATGCTGAATTTTCCAAATCTTTTTTCTGAAATGCGTAAAAAAAAAATTCTGGAGGTTAAAGAAGTTTGAGCCGGGCCATTTCTAGCCAGTCGGTAGGGAGAGGGCAACCAACAATTTTTTTAAAGATAGCCTTATATGTATTGTGATAACTCGCACCATTCTCTTATTCTGACAAATTCGTCTAGAGATCAAAACAAATTATTGAATATACAGCAGAATATGTACTAGGAATTTACACCTAACCAAATGAACTGAAACACTGATCCAGTGTTTCAGTAAACAAGACGTGAAACAAGGAGATATTTTTAATTCTTTTATTGCTAATTAAGCTAGGTGATGTGTATACATACATATAAAGGTATTGCACTGACATAAACAATCATCTTAAACAAAAAAAAACTGTCTTAAAAATAAATACTGAAATGATAAGTTTTGCGTCTAGCATTAAGTACATAATTGTGTATATATATCTGAATTATTAATTATTTTATGATTGGTCCCATTTCTGATATGGCACAAAAAATATGGATATGCTAAATAAAGACGACAATTTTTTTTATGAAAAAAAAAATTGAAATACATGTAGTACTGTTGCATTGTAAATAAACCTTTCATGATTTTTGCAGTCACATGCAAAATAAACAAAAAAAATCAGTAATTTTGTATTTTTTTCAAGACAGACATTCTTTTTTATGTAGACCAAGGACTATTTTTAGAAAATTTCTCAAAGTGCATGTAGCTTGCATGTTTAAAAGAAAAGCAGGTTTTTCTATAATGAACAGGTGCCAAGCTCTATTAATTATTAATTCAGCTGACACCATTGGCTTACTGTAGACATATTAAGTCATTTTTGATAGTGTAGCTGAGATCATTGAAAGTCTTCAAACTGATCTAGTAAATCCAAAATAAATGAACCATGGCAATATGGATCATGATTAAAGTGACCCTTAACCCCCCCTCCCCCTTAAAAAAAGAAAAAAAAAAGAAAAGAGGTTAATGGACCATAATGCTCACATGAGTCACTACGACAGAACTTGCAACAAGTTAGAACAATTGCTATTTGGTGTCTTGAACATTAATATCACCAATACAATGGATATGTAGAAATGAGCTGGAAGACCCAACCACTTTTCTTTAAAGTATTTTAACTTTAATATCTTAAATGCTTGGATATGTAAGTTTTTTATTGGTCCAGTTGAGTTTTAGATGACAAGGTTCGACTGTAAATTGTGTGTTTCTAATAGATATTTTTTGTTCATAATGAGATGACAATCAATTTTGGAGTATATGGTAATTATCCCTCTTCTAAATCAATATATACATATAAATCCATTTCAAAAATATGCCTTGCCATCCATAATGATAAGTGATGACCAAACAAGGATATAAAGGAACAGAGAGAGGTTCTAGGAGAGGAGGTGTGGTTATAAAGGTATAACCCCCTGAATTTCTGAATTTACTGGTGTTGTAATAGTTCAGAGGCTAAAATGTACCTCCTCTCCCTTCCTTCCATTAGTAAATTCAGATAACCTAAAAAATAGTAAATCAAAATGAAATGATTAACAATAAATAACGGAATGCATCGGATTGGACAAAACAGGAGTATTAATATCATCAAAAATCAAAAACATGTCTTAATTAATCTAGCATGATAATAAATAGAAACTAATTCTATACAAAAACACACAGTAGATGGATTTCAAAATTGAAAAATTTGCAAAAAAGATTTGCTACTGATATAGTTAACTGATTAATAATTGGAATAAAAACCAAATTCACTAAAAAAAATTTCCAACATTTTGCAAAAAAATGTTTGCTGTATAAAATAAATTGTATGATTTCAGACAATAAGATGATAATTTATTTTCCAGAAAAAAAAGTGTATGTTGTGTGTCTATTTATTGTCTGGGAGTACAGTCTTCTAAAACGTGTAACCACAAAATGTACATTCGTACTCAAAGATGTACAAAAAAAAAAAAAAAAAAAAATCCCAACTAAATTGCTAAGTTCAATAAGTACCAATTAACACATCCTGGATTTTATCCATTCTTTAGAAGATATTTTTAGCTTTGTGTTTTGTTAAAATTCTATAAAAAAAATTTTATAGGACAGCATTTACAAAATTTTTACAGTTGATAAAATACCGATTTCACAATAGAAGAGATAGTTCTTTAGCTTTATAGAACAACTGTATTAGTAATCTATATGAATATACAGCAAAATGGATCAATTATAAACTATTTACTCCCAGCTGGAAAATATGAGCTAAAATTTGTGTTCAAAATTTGTGTGATTTACTGCAACCTATGAATAAATTCTTTATATCAATCCAGAGTGCTGTGTCAAAGCCATTTTGAAAAGAAACATCTAAGGGTATTACTTTGCTCTGGTTGTACTTGCTATGCTATACTGTGCTATAAAGATATCCCTGCTTCCCCTGTATGTTAGCTAAATGCACACAAAATTTCCAGGTAGATAAGTTGTGTATATTTAAGATATGGCCATTTATGGACTGGAATTTGCATTAGAAGATACACTAATCAACATGTTTTGCTGGACTTAAAAAAGATATGTAAATATTTCTTAAATTACACAAAAAGAACAAATACATGGCCCTTAATTCAACTGAACTGAAAACAAAGAAAACATGTTCATCTACTGATAATAAATAATGAGATCAGAAAAAAACCTTAAAATTGTAAATATATACCAACATTTCAACAAAATCTATATGAACGTAATGCTAAAATGGCAGGAAAATCATACATTGATTTTTATGATATTTAGTTCCAATAGAAATGATACCCCAATGACACCAAGACCTTTCAGAAATCTTCCATTAACAACAAGCAGTGTATGAAACTCCTGAAAAATCTACTTGTTAGGCAAAATTTTCCAAATTAACTAACGAAAGGCCCATAACGAAAGGCCCATGGGCTATGACAGTCACCTGAGTATTGAGCAACTTTCATGAGTTTCTCAGGCTTTGAAAAAAAAAATCTGGTGACTCTGGTGACATAAAAGTACTGAATAAAAAAATTATCATCCCTGATGAAGAGTAGCTAGTATAGAGAGTGTAAGCTAACAGGAGTTTCATACACTGAAATCAGGTCCTCACTAAAATCCACTGAGTAATAGGTACAACAAGAGCTTAAAATCATAACCTTTTTGAAATCTTCAAGATGATATCATAGGTTCTGCAGCTCTTCAGTTTACAACAAGGCCATTTAAAAATTTCAAGATGACATCATAACTACTCAGTAATCTTCAAAATAATTTCACTGCCTTTTTAGATTATTCCAGATGACATCCAAGCTTGAGGCATGTTTGAAGTCTCTTTACTTTTGTAGATGTCAGTCCCCCACTCTAGCCAGACACTCACGCCTCATTTTCTCAATCCGAGAATGGGGGAATGAACCCAGTCTCTTAAAACAGTGCTGCAAAAGAAGTTATTCAGTAAATGAAAAAGAATCTGTGAATTCCATTTCGGATTGGGAAAATGAAATGCAATGCAATTACAGTAATAATTTCTACTGCATACATGTATCTATGCAGCTGAACTTCAGTATCTCAAACTTCCATATCCAAACCACTTTTTAATTCTGTAAGTATCACAAATCTTTGGATATTTCAATTTTTTTATCCCATTGAGTTTAAGATACATGTAACAAGGTTTGACTGTATAAAATTATGATCTTCATTCAAACAATATACATGTAAAGTACCAATTAAATGAAACATCAGTGAAATGAAATGAACTGATGTATATGAATCATCCATGACCATTTCTATCCCATCAACTGGACTACTAATTACTCCATTTACCTGAGCAAAACAGAGGGCTCATGGTGGTTGTGACCACTCAACAGGGGATGCTTACTCCTCCTAGGCACCTGATCCCACCCTTGGTGTTTCGAGAGTTTGTGTTTCTGTGCTGTTCATGATTTTTTATTTCCAAGTTCTTAACTGGATTTATGAAACTGATCACTGTTTGTTATCTTCACTTGTTGTAGAAGCAGCCATAAGAACCTATACTTTTCCATACCCTCTCTTACCTTCATCAACTTGTGACAGTTCAGACTCTGTGGGTTTTTGATGATGGACTGAAGCTCATTCACCATTGATGTGAAATTACTGCAGGCCATTAGATGGTCTCTGTTCTGAAGGATTAACATTGCTGATACTCGAAGTAGAACTTTACTGCCCTCATAAAACATGCAGTCCCAAATACGTAAAACAGTCTACAAAGAGAATTATTCAGATACAGTGGTGATGGGGAGATTATAAATGAAGTTTGAGAATTACTCACAGATACAGCTGGTGAAGGGGGAGATGAAAAACAATTTAATTATTTTATGTTGGCCAAATAAAATAATTGGCTTCTTCATTTTCTAGTCTCATTATATGATTTCTGGTCACCCTTTATTTATAATGATAAACATAAAATGGAACAATTTTCATAAATACTGAAATTTATAACAACTAAATCTCAACTGTCCCAGAACACCTTTTGCAAATATAGAGGGCCAGCTTTCTACATACTTTTGTTTGGTAAATCAAAATTATAAAATTGTTACAGAAGCTACAATAACTACCTCTGTTGGCAGTACATCAGCAAATAGACACATGAACCACTTTGTTCCTACAAGGCACCACTGGACCCCCACTGTATCCATGTGTTCATACAGGACTGGGTCCTTCCATCTTAAAAAAAAATACAAACTACACTTACATATAACTAACAATTTTCTCTTCATTTTCTGAGTACCCTCTTCTCTATTTCTTCTATATATGGAGCACAGACTTACATGAACAGAGGTTTACCACATACATGTATATACATGTTTATATTCAAAGCACAGACTACATTATGATTTCTCCTATATGCATTCATGAAGCATATGCATCACTATAAACTGTTTTAAAATCAAACTACACATCAACATACTTTCAAATGATTTTCAATGTTTGGAGCACATAACTCACTACAAACTTTTTAAATCATATAGTACAGACTTACTTAATGATTTCTCCTAACAGCTCTTGTTCTGCCTTGACGGCTTCCATACCAGGGGAATAAAAATCTGTAAAACATCATAAATATGTAAAAACAGTTTTCTAAAACAGATATATACTTCAAACAGATACATGTAAATCTCAAATTGAGATACAATGGCTAACTGGAAATCTGACATCTACTGGCTAGTAGAAGGGTTTGTTCATATATCCAGGGGATAGGTTAACCAATATGATCTTAAAAGTTATCCCGTTAATATTGTGTCAATGTATATGACAAGAGGAAAAACTGCATGAACCTTTGACCTGTATATTATACTGACCTGGTAATATTTCATTCATCAGACAGTCCATAAGCCAGAACACACTCTCTTCATCCTTAACAATTAGGAGCAACAATCCAGCTATAAAATTTAGTCCCTGTAAAAAACAACAATCCAGCTATATTATTCAGTCCCTGTAAAAAACAGCAATTTGGTTATAAAATTCAGTCCCAGACAATGACTCAGTCATTGGTTAGTTTGAACCAGACAGTGACTTGATTGGTCAGTTTGAATTAGACAATGACTTAATTGGTCAGTTTGAGCCAGACAGTGACTTAATTGGTCAGTCTGAATCAGACAGTGACTTGAATGGTCAGTGTGAACCTGACAGTGACTTGATTGGTCAGTATAAATCAGACAGAGACTTGATTGGTCAGTTTGAATCAGACAATGACTTGATTGGTCAGTTTGAACCAGATAGTGACTTGATTGGTCAGTTTAAATCAGACAGAGACTTGATTGGTCAGTTTAAATCAGACAGTGACTCCATTGTTAAGTTTGAACCAGACAGTGACTCACCTGACAATAACCTTTGTCTGGGTTATGATGTGAGATGGCTATCAGGACGTTACTGAGGGAGCTACGTAGACCGTCCTTGGTAGAGAAGTATATATTCTCAGGAAATGTCCTGTGTAAATCTAAACAACATAGACAGTACTTCATCCATTGTATTGAAGATAAACAGAAAGGACTATAAACTTAGCTAGAAAACATTTCCTTCAATAAATCTAGCATGTTTGTATAGTTTGTAAGACACCCTTAGATTACTACATACAATAAACAAGAATTGCAGATGCCAATAAACTTTAACTTAATATTATGGATTGCTTTATGTTCTACAGTTCATTTTTATGATTGAAAGGCATACATAGTAAATAAAGTGTATACACTTGTTGGACATAACTTTAGAGAGTAAATTTAAAATTTTTTTGTTTTGAATATTTGGATCGAAGTTTCTATTTGCTTGATATTTTCACTCTCATTTTTGACAACTTTTGCAAATGAATGAATTTCATCTTCCTTATATATCCAAATCAAGAACTCTGTTTCAATCATCACTTCTTCTGTTATTGTGATTTAACATGTTTAATAAAAGTAACGAGTAAAAAACCCAGGTAATTAAGATAACATGGGTAAAAAGACAAACCTAGAGCTATAGTTTCTACAACAGTTGTGTCCTTTTCACCCAGAAGGAGTAATTTATATGTTTTGGGGTTCATTTTCTTTTTTTCTTCTGCTCCACTCAGCAACATCCAAACCTTTAATAAAATTTAAATGCAAATTCAGAACAATTTTGGCAGAACAGTATAATATGACATTGTCCAAATATTGAACAAACATGACAAAGTAATGGATTTCTACCCAATTCAATAAAACTATCTAATACTACAGTGATCTATGAATTTAAATCTTTGGAAGAAAGATTACATTTTTTAATAATAATTATCATACTTTGAAAATGATTCACAAAGATAAATGACTTACATATTTTCTATGTTCATTTGGAATTCCCTTTCTACAAAATCTTTTAACTGAAATGAAAAAGTACATCAATTAATCTACATTATTTTTTTAAAAATTTGATTTGTAATGTTTTTGCTAATTTTAAGAACATAAAATCAAGGCTTTAATTTGCCTTTCAAATATTTTCATTCTGTGACACCCCATCCCCCCCCCCCCCCCCCTTAAAAAAGAAACAAAGTACAAATTTATGCCATATACATGAAGCTGCAACATGTACACCTGCATATATACATGTTGCATGTAGTACATATATGCATACATATGCATATATAGGGAAAATAGGGAAAACCTTTAATTTTTGTTCAATTCTTTCATCAGGTTTACGAATAACTAAACGAAATTACATATATGTAATATATGATAAAAAGAATAGCACCCATGCAAATACAGAAAGATTTTTAATGATTTACTCTTATATTGACAGAGAATAACCTGAAAATATTATAAAATGTTGAGATTGCAAAATTACCAGATCTTTTTTTCAAATGGAAAAATCTATCAATAAAACTCCCACATGCTACTACTGCTGTATATAGTTAAACCTAGCTTTATTCTGCTTCAGGTTAACTGAATTATCATGCTGTATTGTTACATGTGGATCACATAGATGCTTAACAATATGGGGATACTGATCTATTTATTTTGATCAATTCTGAAAAGTCTGTTTTCAAGCTGTTGTCTCAATAGAAATGATAAATTTATAGCGGATACAAAATATATACATTAATTTTATATGATGAGATTTTAGCATTTATATGACACTATGTCAAGATTTTAAGCCCTAAAATTTGTTTTCAATTCTAAACAGTTCCATAAAAGGAAGTAATTTTAAAATATGGCTTATAACACAGATTTCCTCTCCATTTCACACATATGTCAAATCCTATATACTTCCTAGTTCTAATGAAAACATAAGGAAGCAGTATACCTTTTAATAACATTTCTAATAGCTTCCATACAATGGTACATTTAATATTAGAATTAACAAATCTAATAAAAGTTGCCTTCAAATTGCTCTTGACTTTGGGTAGTTAGAATAATCTGTGTCTTGGGACAGGCCCCCACAAAACGGCTCTGTAGGATATATTATCATTTCATAATGATAGAACATTCTATCTAGCCTGGGGGGTTACCTATTGGAGAGGTGAGTTAATGCAAGACCAAGATATGACCTTATTACATGTATGGCATTTTTAAAATATGCAAGCATATTTTAACAAATAATCATACATGTTATATAATGTCATACATTTACATTAACATGATTATTAGAAATTGGTCTTGACCAATGTTGTTTCACTTGGAAACTGAAAAATGACACCGAAAACCAAATCAAAATTGTACATGTGCACAAGATCAAAAGAAAAGCAATTCATTATTTTTTGATTAATCAACATGACAACCTTACAATCATCACTTTATCTACTTTAGTATTTCACATTAACTTTTAATTGATTTTTTCCCATGTGTTTCACTGGGTTTGGAGTCTACTTGCAGAAAATGTTAATTAATGTCTATCTCAATCTGGACCATGTAATAAGAAATTAGAATCATTATGTTCATGCAAACTAATTTAACACAAAAGCTTTGTTTTTGACTTTTGCAATGGTATATTTATTATGTTTCCACTGGCTTTGGAGTTTGGAGTCTACTTCCAGAAAAGAGTTTTGAAATATCTCTAGATCTCTGTCCATCTCTGGCCTAACTTGGGGTTTGTATAAATTATAAAAAGTTTACATTTTCATCATATTCCATGGTACTTCGAGTACTTTCACTGTGGTACGTCTAAATACATCTAAACATGCTAAAAGAAGGGACAAAATGCAATCTAGGTTCCCTACTGATTCTGAGTTATGAGCCATATGGCAAAGGAAGCTGACTGACAACTTTCATTTACTGTATAACAGCTTTTAGAAACCATTTCATAAGCTCACCCTTCCTATTTTTAGCAATATCCTCTCCCTTGGACACTAATGACTTCCAGCGAGATTCTCTTCGAGCCAAGACAGGGAGGTAACCAGCCATGAATTCATCGTAAGCGTCTGAGTTTGGGTCCTGGCTCCTGTCAAAACCATACCCGTCCACCTGGCTGTTAAACGAAATGATAAGGGGAGAATTAAGGTCTTATCCAAACTTCCAGATTATTACTGTAATAGCATAGGCCTGTGTAATACGTAAACTTGCATCAAGTTCAAATACAGCGGTAACATATAGTTATAAAGTTACAAGATTAAATACTCTGGTTTTAGAACTGCTCTGAAAATTTTATCTGTTGTTAACTTGCGATGTTATAGATCTAGTAATAAATTATTAAAACCTTCCACCCCCTTATCAAAAACATGTCCCTGCATTTTCTAAACTACAGACATCAAAAAGTAAAACGTCGCTAGAGCACGAACCTTCTGAGGGTATTGTCAGCGTCTTTTCTCTCCCCCATGTCATCTCAGACCTGATGTTAAGTCTCCTATCGATTTTATCATCTTCTTTACCTACTCTATCAACGATCTTCGAACCATCATCTGCTAGAAAGTGAACAGGAAATAAGCTGACGACATCTACCAAGGACGAGAACTCCGAGTGTTGTATATCTTTTCAGCGGATCAACGACGATATCTGATTAATTAATGATTAAGATTAATTATCATTTAATTTAGCGAAAACCAAAGGCTAAAATGACAAACAATTCAAACATATAAAAGGAACAAAAATGAAAATAAACGAATAGAAATAAATAAATAGATAAATAATGAATAAATAGATAAATAAATAAATAAATAAATAAATAAATAAATAAATAAATAAATAAATAAATAAATAAATAAATAAATAAAGGACGAAAGAATATTTTCGTTCGATTTTAATTTGCTTCCGAGGTCAAAAATATCTTCAGGTACGCGTTTTCGATCGACCTGAAACAATTAAGATCAATTAATAGTTCCTTTTTCAGGACATCTATATATATATATATATATATATATATATATATATATATATATATATATATATATATATATATATATATATATATATATATATATATATATATATATATACAATGAAAAAGCATCTTAAAGGGCTCTGTATTTTACAGATTTGATTTCAAAATCATATAACATAAAAGAAAAGTGCTGGCTTACTCGTTAATTTGTTTTTATTTCTTTTCATTCACTCCATATCACAAACAAAGAAAAGTTTATTTTTTGTAAAGTTCGGGCATGATTTTGAACTGAAGTAATTTAAACAACAAGGTTTGCACTCTCTCATTCTCTCTCTCTCTCTTTCTCATTCTCTCTTGATCAGACCAGTAGGAAGCAATTTCTACGTTTCTACGTTCAATTTCTAAGTTTGGGGGGTGGAGGTGGGTTGGCGGGGCGCACACACACCATACATTTTTAGTTTTCAGTTGAGTGGGCACTAGTTACCAACTACCAAAAATTCCTTGATGAGCAAAAATAAATAAATAAATTAATTAATTAATTAATTTAAAAAAAATGAAATGAAAAACAAAGATTATTGAGGGGCCACAGCTACATGTATGTTTTCTATAGTATTCTTTTTATCGACAAAATTATTTATTGGAGAGGACACGCCCCCACCCCATCCCCCAGCCCGGTTCCTACGGCCATGGTGATATAGACGTGATCATCAGAAATAATTTTTTAAAACTTATTTGATCCAATTTTAAGTTGTTAAAAGTGTAGCGCTTCGACCACAATTAATTTCTCCATTTCAACTGTATGCAGTAGAAATACTAATACAATATAGAGACTGTAACTCTGATCCATTGTACACTAGAATCGCTAGAATCTTATCTTTTCTCTTGAGTACACACGGTATAAACGGACGAAAAGGAATTTAATGCCTTAGAAACAACAAGCATTATCTTTACAATAAAGGCATTGGTTCGGATGATCAGGCAGGTGCGCGCTTTTAATTTTTCCAATAAACACTTTCCGTTAGAATGTTCATTACTGATTATTGGGCGATTGTTTCTGAGCTCTCGTATCTATCAACAAACAAAGAGGCACAGAGTGGACGCCATTCCGATCTCTTCAAATTGTCGGCCAAAATTTTGGGACAGGAGAGAATATTTTTAAAATGCAGGTACGTTGTTAAATGTACCAGGTACTTACGTATATCTCAAAGATATTTCATCATCATTCTGTCATATGAAAACCTCGAAGTACTCTCTGTATAAATGATTTTTTTTACTTACTGATCGAGGTATGTCATAAGTTGCAATTCAAATCATACAAATGTACAAAAGTTTTTTTTTGATGTATGTAAATAAGATGCACAATGTGCTCTCTGCTAACATGTAGAGTACATGTATATATAAACAATTTTGTTGGATTAAATAGTACAGTATATATTTATACACTCTGTCTTTTGTTGGATTAAACAGTACAATAAATACGTACTCTCTGCTTTTTGTTGGATTAAATAGTACAACATATATGTACACCCTGCTTTTTGTTGGATTAAATAGTACAAGGCCATTCCAAGTTATTTCTCTGTTTAGCGTCCGCGTGCGCCTTGGTTTTTGACACCCAATACCAGAAAAAACAAACAAAATCTCGAGTCCTAAAATTGAATATTCTGGTCAAAATCTTTTAATTCTGTCAATTTCTCTAAATATCTGTCTTCAATATGTCATATTTGATATATTTTTAGCATTTAATACTTTGGTTTTACTAGGGAATAGATCGTTCTACAAGAAAAACGGATCGATGAAATAAAATCCTTTGAATGTCGTCATTTTTATGACTATAAAGTCTGTTTTTTATTTTTTGGCTTGTGTGTTTTTTGCGAATAGGTAGGTAGGTTTTTGAAAGACGGGTGGACGCTAAACAGAGAAAAAACTTGGAATGGCCCAATATAAATGTACACACTTGTAATGACTATTCATGTATACATTGCACTGAACATTTCGAGATAGCCCGGGAGTTTTATGACGACATGAGCATTCTTATTTTATTTCACGAGTGGCCATAAATCAGTGGTCAAGATTATATTCAGAAACAATTAACCTGTATGCATATTTAGCTTATTGACCTCTCAAACAATGAACCGAGCAATGGGTTCTTTTACAATTGTAACCCCCTTCTTTCCGGGTTGATTGTTCACTAGTATGCCCTAGGGTGTGAGTAAAAGATAACCTGGATCCGTTTCTAATCTCTACAACAATCGATTGATGAGTCCTGCATAAACTTCCATTGCTTGCTCAGTCGTGTCCTGATGTCTTCTCTTTTTATCTCACTATTTGCAACACAATTTCTTACGACATCTCCATACATAGTGAATACATAGTGTAGTTGTAATGCCACATCACTTAAACTCCCAACACTTTTTTATGTACAGCAATGTAGGTCAGCTACTAATATCGTTAAACTTTTACTCTCTTTGATAATATAAAAACAGGAGCATTTTCAATATTTAATTCCCATTAGCAAGCAAGCTTAGCTATTTCAATACATTAAATATATTGCTTTCAGTCACGGTATTTATTTGGTCCAATAGGAAAGAATATTGATAATGGTGTGTAAATCCTTCAATTTTTAGGCGTATTTCTGAGTTATTTCTGTAACTATATATATCTATATTTTAGTGTAAATATACAGTTGCTGTTCAATAAGTTATTATTTTTAGGCTGGATACTTGGTCCAGCAGAGGACGGACACCCGGGATTTAACCGGACTTCCGGGGTATGCCAGGGTTATGCAGGCTACTGGACTAGAGAAGGTAAGATCAGTTCAAAGTGTGTATCACAGAAAAGGTTTTCTGGCTGGAAAATGTGAACCGTTCAACACGAAAAGCAGAATATACACCCAGCAGAAACGAGAAAATAATTTATTTAGAAAGACAAAATATAGCAATAAAAATACAACATTTGTTGAAAACAAGCTATTTATTAAAAGATTTGTGAAAATTTAACAAAGAATAAGACAACATATAATTTATTTACTAGTATATTTTTATAAAGATTGCATAATTAGCTTTCCTTTAAAGAAAGAAATCTCCCAGCACCAAATGTCATGGTCTGAATTGAGAATTTTAAATCTAAACAATGTAGAATAATAAAGTTATTTGCTTATTATACTTTGAAAATAGCCTTTCATGACTAGTTTTGAAAAAGAGTAAAAAGTAAGATAAAAATTTAATACTACTCGGCGCATCCTTTCTGCAAAACTTCAGATTGTAAGGCAAAATAATTAGACACACTCTAAAAGATGTCCATAGCTCTCCTAAGCATTGGCCTTAGGGAAAAAAAATCAGTTACCGTGGGAAATTTACGTCGGATTAGAAACACTTAAAGTACCCCTAAATCTCTAGTCAATTTCTGATTGATTGATTTATTGTATGTTGTTTTACGTCCCATTCGAGAATATTTCACTCATATAGAGACTTCCCCATATACCGGTGAGGGGCTTCAAATCTAGACCTTTACTCGGCACTCAAGGTCATTTGAGCAGTGGGGGTTCCTTATCGTGCCAACGCCTACCGTGACATATGGCCTCGGTTTTTAAGGTCTCATCCAAAAGACCCGTGACTTTCACTTCTAATGCCGGGCGCTTGGCGAAGGAACGGCTACTACCTATGGTTACGTCTTAGATTTCACTTTGACGCGGCTTGCGAACGAGAAACGATCGAAACCGGGCCTCACGATCACGAAGCGAACGCCCTACCACTAGGCTACAGTGACAGGTTTTCAATTTCTAAAAATAAAGACTTTAAATCTCAAACAGAACCAGAAAGCAGAAATAGAATCTTTAATTTCAAGAAATATCAACATATAGAAACCCGAAAAATGCTAAAGGAAAATTCTATATAAAAAAAATATTACAAGCATTAAAATATTAATGGAAAATGGAGATATCGAGCAGTATTCAAGCTCAAAAGTCCATTCAAACAATACAAATCAGGAGCAGAGCAAACACACTTAAAAATATATTATACACCGTTTTGTTACTAGAATTTTTTTTTAAACGGATTTCAACATATTAATGACGTTTATTCTATTTTTTTTTTTAAATAAAGACCCAAATTATTCACACAAGAAAATCACGTGAATCCCGAGACGAAGGCTATCACAGCAGCGAACGACCCAAAACGTACACCAAGGAGAGAGAACCAAGGACATTCCGAGAACCAATCAGTTACAGAATTCCGGAACCAAGATCCCGAGTTATAATGACAAACAAAGGGCGGAAAGCACTTACAAACGGTCTGATTCCGCTACCGGAAACAGATCGATCAGTTGAGGGACCCACAGATGTCGAAAAAGTAGATTTCAGAGCAAAGGAACCCAAGGAAAAGAAAGAAAGAGAACCAATCAGTTTCAGGGAACCAATCAAAAAGAAGGCAGCAGAGAAGCCCAATCAAATGGAAGGAAAAACACCACGTGACGCACCTCCAGCAGCAGAAGTAGTAAAGGCAAGTACATGTACATAAGTAACATAACAAATGTAGATTGTTTATTATAAAGACGTTTTTGATCACCGAAAATTTCAATCCTTTCCACAAGATTT